GCTCACTGCTGAGCTTGTTCTAAGTTTGTACAAGACATACCCAAGAGAATGTCTTGAAGTGCCCAATATTACGGCTTCCCCGTTAATCGGAAGAGATGACACTCTTTTGAAAAAAGTCCGAAGACGGGAGACAAAAGGAGTGATTGGTCTCCACGATAAACCATGTGATGAAAAGATAGAAAGTCAGATCTTTTCTTACTTAGCTGCTATCAGCTTGTGGATGACATAATTACCGACCAGAAGATTACAAGCGACTAAAATCATCGAAACAAAGGTGTTCTACCATTACTAGGTATGGGGTTCCTTATGAAGATCCAAGAAGATAGTGTATCAGAGGGAGAAGGCTCGAGTTTGCCGCCTCTGAAACTCTTTGCCGGCAGACGCGGTTGCTGCATTATCCTTGGAAAGCTTGAATGAGGCTGGACAAGCATGCAGCGAGACAAAGACTGAGTCCAAGCGGCCCAACTTCTTAAAACTCACACACACTATCAATAGGTATACATCTAAGCTCGTCCTTTACTACTGTCCATTCTACTTTGTCGTACTCTTCTGAGCACCCTATCTGTTCGCTCACTATATATATTTAAAAGATCAACTCCGTTCACAGCAGCGATACGCTGTTAACACACCTCATACTATAAACCACATATGACCAGTGCCTGCACAACTTTTCTTGCAGTCAACCAAAGCTACGACAGTTGAGTGGTAGGATGCGAAATGCAGAGTTTTACTGAATACCATGAACCTTTACTTTACGACTAAGAAGCAAGCACAGAGAAATCCGATTGTTATACATTACCTTGTAAAAACGATGTTGGGTGTTGGATAAGAGACGCCAGCATCTGAAGTCCAACCTATATCATCCCTTAAAGCTGCGCTGTCGTCAAAGGGTCTCATCGTTTGGCGAACAGTGAATAGGTCTTCTCAATTAAGGTGAACTTAGGCGGGCAGCATTTTTCCACATAAATCCAACGGTATTATTCTTCTTCAGCACTGTCTGTATCCAGTCTTACTTAGCCCGGTTCATATTGTATAGTATCACACGCTCTTTACTTTGTTCTGCCGGGAATAAGAAATTACGTCTGTCATACTGAATAAAACCGACAATGATAAATATATAACACAGTGAAAAAAGAAATGCCAAGAGACTCACAAAAAGGAATGTTACACAAGCTGAGACTGGTAAATGCCAAGTGTGATTACTGCAAAAAAACAGAAATTTATCAAGAACGTGGAAAATTCTACTGAAATAACGCACCTGTGAAATGTACACATTTGATGTTTTTCCCTGTCGTGGTGTGGCCTGCATTGTACATACATATGATAACTTTATGCTTGAGGAATAAATTAAATGAACAACCACTATATAGATGTTTGATGAATATTTTGTCTTTCGGAAGAGTCACTAGCAATTCTTAACCGTCTACTTACTGGTGGTAAGCAGATGAACAGTATTCCTTATTCCCTTGATGTTTGCACACTAAAGAAGTCCTTCATGCATTCTCCGTCAAATGCCAAACTTTCTAGTGTTACAAGTATTAATGAAACCTGCTACCCTGGATTTACTACAAATGATGTTCTAAAATGTCTCCAGTCGCTGAACCCTTCTTGTAGCCTGGGTCCAGATGGTTTGCCTAGTGTTATTCTTAAAAATTGTGCAGATATCCTGTGTTATCCTCTCATGGACATATTTAATGAATCTTTTTCCAAAAATGTCGTGCCAGCCGCTTGGAAAGACATTAAAATTGTACCTATTCCTAAGTCGTCTACTGCGACATGTTTTAAATTTAGACCCATTGCTCTTACTTCCCCTTTTCTGAAAGCTATGGAAAAGTTGCTCTTACTTAATCTTCAACCTTCACTTAAAGCCTTTAACGATCCCAAACAATTCGCCTACAAACACAGTAGAAGTACTTTAGACGCAGCTGCAGTCTTGTATCATAACATTGTCTCCAGCTTAGACAAGGGGGCTAAATTTGTTCGCTGCACCTTTCTAGATTATACATCTGCTTTCGACTCAGTACCCAGGGACATTTTACTAAACAAGCTTGCTGAAACTCAAACTGACCGTTGGGTTGTCAAATGACTGCATTCTTATTTCTCAGGAAGAAAGCAATACACTGTAGGTTAGTGAAAGTCGTCCACTTCATTGCTTACTGAGGCTGGTGTCCCTCAAGACGCTGTCCTTTCTCCTTTTCTGTTTTCTTTCTTCTTGCATGACTTGCCTCACTCCGATGAAATGAACTTTGTTAAGTATGCCGATGATCTAACTATTTCAATGTCTGTTAACTTTCAGCTTGACTGCATTAAGATTAACAACTTTCTATCAGAAATTAGCAAATGGTCTTCGTCTAACGGCCTTAAACTTAATCCTTCCAAATGTCAGACTGTTAATTTCAGTTTCCGATGTAAACGAAAGTTGAATGAAGCCGTTGGTTCCTATGACCCTTGCAAAATCGATGATACTGATATAGAAAGCAAGTCTGAAGTTAAGTATCTTGGATTAATTCTCTCTTCTGACCTATCCTGGTCCTCTCATGTCTTAGCGATTTCTAAAAGAACATTTCGTTTGACTTTTTACATTAAGAAGTTAAGGCATTCAGGCACAACTCAACCACTCCTCTTACACTTTATCAACTCGTGTATTTTACCTATTCTTCTTTACTGTTCACCCTTATTCTTTCCTGGATTGCTTAAAAAGGACTATGTCATACTTCGTAGAACTCTGAAGACTGTCAGTAGGACGAGTGGTATCCCATTGGGCCATATCGTTGACATTGTCACTGATGGGCACTTGATGTCATGCAACAAATTCGCTAAAGGAATTTTGTCACTCTGAGCACCCACTCTACCCGCAGCTCCAACCTTGTGTCTCCTCAGGTAAAACAAGTCTTTCCAGAAGAAATTATGCACGTACGTCTAAGTATAAAAATTCCACTATACCATATTTAGCACGTACTTTATGTGATGCAAATAGCGTCAGAAATGAACTAACTAACCTTCGTAGCACCACTAAATAAACCATTTCCTTCACCCTTAAAGCATCATACTTTATTGTTATTGTATTTCTTATATTTATGATCCTCTCAATTTTTTCGTTTTGTTTATTTTAATTTTCATAAATGTGGACATAATTTTAGGCTGTATTATGACTGTTAACTTTGTATTTCCCCTCACTATACCACATCAACAGAACATTAGACCCAATAATCTATAACATGCTAAAGTTTCCAAACTGAATCGACAATACCGTTTGAAACAAACTCACTGTTATTATTATTACTATATCTAATAATTATGTCGTAAATGTGGACAAATTCCTAGGATTAATTTTGTTTTAATTTTTAGTTTTATATATATTTTGAGTAAATCAGATGCAATATTGTGACAAATGCTGAGAATTCCATTCTGTATTATGCATACTGTTTTTGGAATAAAGTAAATTATTATTATTATTTGCACTAGCTTCATATTCCTAAAGAGAATTCATTCACACTTTTTTACTGTCAAAGTTAGCAAGCATTCACAAATATTTTTATTTTTTATTTTTGATTACAGCTTGATTCCACACCGTATTTTTTGGTACAGGTATGGAATTTTCAGCATGTGATGTCGGTAGACCAAATTTTGCAGACCGACCATAGATATCAGGTGTGCGTCGGCAAGGATTCCAACCTCGGACCATGTGCATGGTCGGCGAGAGTCCTAACTACTGTGCCACCGACGCACAAAAATGCCGGCAACACCCGGTATTCCCAGCCGGTCACCCATGTAAGTATTAACCGGGCCCAACGTTGCTTAACTTGGGTGATCGGAGGAGCATTCTCAATAACCTTTCAATAATGTGCACATTATCGTCATGGGTAGGGCCAGTTGCTCTCTATCCGGCAAACCATGATTATTTCGGTTTAATAAATCTATTGAATTGCCAAATAGCTTATCATGCTTAGACTTATATATATGGTATCTAGCACTGAAAACAAGAATATAATAGCAGTAAGGTATTACCCTTGATTGACAAAGTTAGGAAAATTCTTGTTATTATTAATTCTGACTCATGATTGATATTTCCCAGAAATTAAATGCTGACAATGAGTAAACTCTACCCGTGTAACATATAAGTCACCGTTTATCAGATAAATCCAATAAACGAAAACTCCACCAAAGAATTTTTCTTCTAGGACATAAATTATCATTGTTAACTAGAATATCTTCACAGCATTATAAGTTAAGATAATAATTGTTCAGATATCTGAGAGATGAGAGAATCTGGGGGCAAAACCAGGCTTGTAATACATTTCTAACCAACAACCGGATACAAATCTCAATAGCAAGTGGGGAGTGAACTACATTTGAGTTACTGAGGCTTCCTACAAAGTCTTACATAGAGTACTGATCTATTGCGATTTCTTAAACACCTCTCCCAACACCTTTCCCAACACCATCAAACCTCAACCACATGTGACTGTTACCTCATCAATTTGACTGTAGAAAGCTACCAAACTGAAAGAGGAAGTACACAAATGCACAGTTGTTGTTGTTCGCACTCATACGGAGGATAGCATCCTTAATTCTTGACACTCTGACATCTGTTTGAAATACCTGAACGCGATAAATATTTTGAAACTGTTTTCCGCAATGACCGAATCTCAGCAAATCAGAGAACAACACAGACAGGACAACAGTCAGCGATTCGTATGCGGCAGAATTACTTGTATTGTATGAATACAGTAAATATTAACAAACTGCAATCAACATTTAAACAATACAGTGGTAGAAATTACAACAATTAGTCCCTTTCATAAATTTGAATAAGCCATTTAGAAGACAGATTTCGCAGAAGGACATCGTTTCGTAGTTTCTCTACAACCGCCTTACAACTAACATGGTTAACAATAATAAAATAAAATGCATGACAATTACTCAGCTATAGAAAACAGAAGCACATACTAATGACTAATCATGATAGAAATTGTTAATCACTACACTGAATAATCAATTTCATGTCGTGCTTACAATTTTCACATTGGAATTACTTCGGAGAAAAATTCGAGGGAAATGAAGTACAGGTGTGATGACGAATTCCTTCAAATTCAACGGATCGTACACACTGACGAACACAAATCGAGGGAGAGAGATAGATGTATTGGCATAATAGTGAAAACACAGTGATGGCGACTACAAACTGAACGAAGCTGATCGTCTGTTCTCTTAATTCGTCTAACAATAAATTCATAACACTGCACACACAGTCTGTGGATTATGTATGTCTACAATATTGAACGAGTTAAGAAGAAATGATTTCTTGTCAAGTAGCAGTTACCTATCATCGTATCATGCTTTTCTGACAATGATGGAGACTGATGGCACAATGTTAACGTTTGAAAATGTGGCGATTCATTATTAACATGGACTACAATAAAAACAACAGGACAACTGTTATCTTCGCAGTGTGAAGAAATTGAAACTCTGTTATGTGGATGTTCTTCCCCGAATAAATGGGAGAGGATCGGTGTTTAAGAGAATTCAATACTCTGAATAAAATATTTTCTATATAACCGTTGAAATTTTAGTGCTCAGATTATCAGTAGTATAAAAAGAGGTGTGTGTGTGTGTGTAATTAAACTATTTGTACAGAGAAGGTAAATATCACTGAAATGGGTTTAGTGATTCGCAGTAGCATATTTTAAGCATTTAAATACACTCACGGATTCCATCGCAGGCTTCTACCCTTGCAACCGTGATTCCACCACCTGGCCACTTGTGGAACCCAATACGGGCCAAACAGGGGAGAAGTGTGTGCTAGTAAACACATCGCACACTGGGGCTGTGAATCCCAGTCATGGATAATACCGTGACCGTGCCAGGCGAAGTATTCATTGTATGCAGTGTCGTTTCTGTCCAAGTATTTGAGATATTCGGCGAGTTTAGCTGGTGATTCAAACTGATCTACATGGATGAAGGAATATGGCGGAGCAACCTTTTTGTACTCTTCCACTGAGGCTCCCATCACAATTGGAAGGATTTCGTTTCTGTAAAATAATAATAATGATATAAATAAAAATAATAGTAATAATAGGAGCGAATACCTCGGGTTAATATTGTTTAACAATATATATTGTCAGAACGCATTTCAAATCTCGCGAAAATTAAGCCTCTATTTAGTGGTTTTTGACATCTTTTAGTTCTTGAGTATGAAGCAGAGCAGCTAATAGAAAGGAAGGCAGGAAAAGAATTCAGTGCGAAAGGACTAAGCGATTGTTGCTTAAATAAACAATGAATGTTCATCATATTATTCTCCGTAGACGGGTTTTATAATCAAATTGATGAACTGAAAATGACTTCACCTTAAGATCCCATGCATAACTTTAAAAGGGTGCATATAGAGACACATTTGATAGTCTCGACTAACAATGTCATTGTGTTGGTAACACATTCATCGTCAGTGATAAATACATTAACAGGAAAGAGCTTCTGAATGCTTTCAGTTTACTTATGTTGGCGGTTCTCTTGTCAGGAAGAATTAAGAAATAGTCTATCTTTTTTAGATGTCCTCCTAACAATAAAGATAAACAGATGTTTGAAGTGGAATGTATTTAGAAGGAATCTTTGAGCCTGGGGATAAATCCATTTTCACAGTTTAATATCGCTTCGATAGAAAAGAAAACTAGTTAAATGTCCTAGTTACAGAATAAGACGCATAAAGAAATATATAAGCCACATCATCCATTGTAAGAAAACAACTTACCAAAATATTTTGTAGGAATGGTAATGATTGGTAATTTAAATCAGAGTACGTTGCACTATAGATTAAGTTTCAAAGATGACAATGTAGTTTTGAACCAAATGTATCAGATGATAGGATCATTTAAAAGTGATTACTGTAGCTAAAGTGATACTCATCTTCTTGACAGATAATAGTTTCCTGATAATAGCCTATCAGTCCAATCGTTTCTTCATTGAATTCAGTCGTACAAATCATAATTAGAGGGCTTAAACCAAGCGTTCACGTGAACAAGTGAAGGAACATCTAAATGTAAAGCAGTGGTGTTTTATCTTATATGATGCATGCTGAATGTAAAATGAACCCAGAACAACTTTTCGATGCCAGTAACTCGTCAACAAAATGGAGCTTGACTATATCTCTAATCGATAATCGAAGGGATAGAAATTAAAATCAGAATCCAGATCTCAGTGTCCATAAGAAATGTGTCCAGCCAATTTATTTATCCTGGAGCACAACAGGATCAACACATCACGGTTAACACTTTAACCCCATGTCCGATTTTTTCTCTATCTCTCCATTGTTTCTGTAGCATATCATTACCTCAAACGTCTGCTAACTCATAATCTTTCTCATTAAGTATATTACCACCAATTATTTCCATGTCTACTATTCCATCTTGTACTTTTACCACGGTGCAGTTTCCTGTGGGATTTTATTTTGCCTTTATTGGCTATCGTATAATAATATTTATGGATTTAGGACTGTAGAGCATGTGGGAGTTCTAATTACTCCTGTTCTAGTATCAGTGATTAACAATTCCATTTTTTAAGTTCCCCTTAAACTTTAGAATACTAGGTTGTAGGTGATTAGCAGCGCAGTTCTGGACAGTTAACAGTATTATAAACGCTAACAGAAGAATTGTCTCGTAGCCTTGTGCAAAAACGAATCCGTACCGACTATCTGAGTTCTTATGTATGTTGAGATTATTCATCAGCTGCTAATTTATCCACTTTTTAGTAAAATGCCTATGGTGTTTAATAATATATACATTTGGTAATTCGAATAGGCTGCATAATAACCTCATACTTATGATAATAGCAATTAAATGTGAACATATTGCACAATGGCAACTAAGCAAGATAAATTTGATTCTTTGATAAGTGGAATCACCCGTGTAATTTATTTGTCTTGACAAGGAAGAGCTAATTTGGTAACCGCGAAAATTAGTTCCCGTCATCAATCATCATAATTGAGAAGATAAAATGACCCAAAAATCAACAAGTTAACAAGCAGAATTCAATCAACCCAAAATTAAATAGCTGAAATAAAAGCAACACTTGAGAATTAATACCACTAGTGACTGACTTTAGGATAGAGTTCCTGGAGTTCTGGTGGGAAGTCATGAACGGTGGGTTCCACGAATTCGTGTGTGAGGACAGATACTTACTGATGATACTAGCTGGCGGTGGTGCTATATATTGTGAGTTGACAGAAATTAGAATTCTATCCCGATGGCTGAATGGTCTACTTTCTGGCCTCGTAACTCAAATGAGCGAGCACTGGTAAAGAGTCCCAAACTAGAACAAAACGATTGGCCAGTAATCCCTGTTTTTCAGTGGTTCTCTAACCGATGTCATTTCTTGGTCAAACCTAAAATCACTCAAATTTCTGCAAACAAACACTTTAAATGAGTTCATTGAAGTATCGAGAAAATTTAAAACCAATTACGAATAAAAAGCTCCAAAAATAGCTTACCTTAGGGCATTTCTGTAGAGTTTCTCAGTTATGTAGTCAGGGCATAAACTGTTTTCAAAGCTTAAATAAAACTTGTAGTTTTCACGAATCATTTTTAAGCATTCAGGGCTTGAAGCATATGTTTCTTTGCTCTTCGGACACGACATCCTGCCACATTTACCGTATATATCAACCTGTGAGTAATGAAATCAAACCATGGAGTATTAGCGAGAAGAGAGTACTTAGTTACATAACACCATAGTAATAGAAGTTTAGCAGTGTGCATTGTTCATTTTCAGAAGTAACCTTTCTGGTCATTATCTCTTCATAAAAGCAAATTTAAAGCAGTAAATAAATAACTATATTATGAAGCCTCCGTGGATTCTATAAGATATTATAGTTTGAAATGCACATAACAGAGACATTTAAACACTTTTGTCACCTATTATTCAACAGGTAAATCTGCCTAGCCCAATGTATAGAGAGTATTTATAATGATACATCAGAGAAAATTCGCATGCCCTTTTTACAAGCAATTATTACTCCCGTGTCTTAATCGAGTAGTTTGTATTGTGTGTTGATCTGCTATTTAGTAGAACATATTGCACATGTTCCTAATTTTTCGTTTCATACTCACGGTTATTATGGAGTTAATGAATGGCACAGAGGACAGTCATTTGATAACCGAAATTTACGATGTGAAAACAATGACCATGGTTCGTACGGTGAAATTTATGAGTAAATGGATAAACTGAAGCGGAATAATAATTCTGAGATGCAAATATGAGTAACACTCTCTCGCTTACTGGTATATGGCGTGATAATTCTTTCGCATACCTCATTCTAGGGCTTTTTGGTAGACAATTGCTTACAAACCATGCCACTTTTTTGGATCTTCCAGCTGCGAAGTTACGAGAAGAAAGTGGATATCTCGTTTGTGGTCCATGAGCTTTTATATACGGCTCATAATAACCATATGACGAATAGATTGTTGAGTCCAAACGAAAAGATATCGTAAAGTTCACCTACAAACACAACGTAGGAATTAATAGTAGACAAGGTGAATGTGAATGAATATGCTGAAATGGGTAACAAATAGAAAACATTAGCTCTAGATCACAGCGACTATGACATGCTGTAAGCCATTAGCTTCTAGGTGTTAAAAAATCAACACAAATAGAAAATGAGGCTTTACAGCAGTCAGGAAAAACTGACAGGTTTGATTAAAACAACCAGCAGACTAAAGTGGAGACAATATGAAAAATTCTGCTGGTGTTATGTTTCTTGGAAATGCTACCCAATGAGCTTAAATTATTGTATGTAAAACTGCTAGTTAGGCCAAGTTCAACTTTCAGTATTAATCACAGTGATGAAGTTATCAAAAAATGAACAGTATAAAAAGTTGGCCGACCCAAGACCATTACAGAGTCTCACAACAACTTATTTTCCAAAAAGTCAGATAAATTTTACTATAAATTCAAATTCACCAATCTCTAAAGACTCATCTTTGAAGTAACTTGTTTATTGATTGGTAGGGATATCACTCGTTTAGACTGAAGTTATATTTTTGCACCGAAAGTTGCAATATTGTTAAAGTGTCATAACTCACTTTGTGCAAACATGAAGTTAGTGCCAAAGATGTCACCAAACCTGCTGATGAAACAATCAGGAACAAACACTGAATTTTAGGGCAACCTAAAATAACTTCAAACGTGCATTTTATACTTGAATTCACTCGAGATTACAGTAATACTTAGAGTGATATTCAAAACATCAGAAACGTGGCCCTAGTGGTAAATAACCTAATTGTTAACTGAAAAATACGGATCCACTGAAACTAGGTAATCTGTAGGAAAGGAAAGTAGATTATGAATATTTTATGAATATATTAGCGATATCAGATTGATCAGTCAACGGTAAAATCGAAAATGACTCGAAACAAATAATAGCTGATACATGTTCCACAAGAGGTGGCCTAAATCATCCACGTGATTTGGTGAATAGGCTTTTGAAATGAAGGCTACAGGGTTCTTTTCTCAGTAGGAACACCATCACTCAGTGGTGATTTTAGGTCCCAAATGAGACGAAATGCGCATCCTAGATTCCCCTGCTAGTCACCATCCATCCATCAAATATATCATCAACAAATAAATGAAAATAAAACAGTCGGACGTTTCAAATATTCACTTGTGCGTGTCTGAAATTATGTTAATAGTTCTCACTCAGCACTGTGCTTTTGGTGAGTATTAAAATATGTTGTGCCGTCTGTTTCAACCCTATTAACAGTCAGTGTTAATAGATAACGGGTTCGCCTGCATTTGTGACAGATGCAAGTAAATCCTATCAAATGAAAAGCAATAAAACTTGAGTCATGTTCAATTCAGTCATATTTCACTGTGTTTTGCATTTTTTTATCGCTTTATATTCAGCAATTTATTTGAAAGTATACAAAAATCATTACAGTGTTTAACATTTCTGACCTCATTCTGTAAAGAGTCCGCAACTGCGAGATTTAGAGGAGATTCATGCATTAGAGTAAACCACAGCTGTTCTGATGGCCGTGTGCCATTCGGTAATTTTTCATCCGACAGTATTAATCCATCAGCCTCTTGCCATCTTTCCATGCCACTGATGACTTCACATTCATTTGCATGGCAGTAGGAAAAATTCATAGGTGTAAAAATTCTTTTTCCTCCATAAATGACAAACTTCTTCACCTATAACACAAGGAATTGAAGAAAGATATCCCTGTTAGGGTCTTCATCAGTAACCAATGCTCTGCTAATTAATGAATTTATCTGAAAGAATATCCCAGGGATATCCGATGCTTAACGTGGTAATAGAAATAAGAGGGACATTTTGACTTAAGTTTGCTAGGTCTACACAAAAATTTTAAACACGACTCTTACTTGGTGTGAGGTTTCGATGAAAATATAAAAATGTAATTTTTTAGAACGAAACACGAGCATGATAATTTATCTTATTCTGACAGTGGTATTCAGCGTCTTAAGATAACTATCGTAAAGATACATGGAAGGTACGTTAATCCACTGACTGACAAAAAGAGCTTATTACCATGTTTAACAAATGGAAGCTACTGCTTTCTTTAAATGGAAAGCTTTACGAGCGAATTCAACAATACGACGATGACTACTTGCAGAAATCCACACAAAATTCAAAAAAAACACTAAATGAGAGGGTGGAAAGTAAGGTAGTTAGGAAAGAGCTTGTATTTTATGCCTTTGCTTTAAAGGTGATGAAACTGTAAAGTACTGTTGGTGCTGTTGTTAAGCCAAACTCTACCAGTCCTTATTTACCACTATTTACATATGCATCCGGTAATTCAGTACTCTACGTAACCTGTAAGTACTGAAGTACAAAACGCAAATGAAAAGACTTGTTTACTAGACAAGAGTGCTCAGGTTTGCGTACATTTGATTAAAATAAAAGGTTAAAATTATCCAAGAAAAAGGCCCAAAACTAATTTAACAGATATGGCTTTATTAAAAACTCAAGGAATGTGCGTATAGACAGCACAGTGGAAAAGTGCAGAATGGCGTTGTAGCCAGTTCGTGTATGTACAGATTAAAACAGTATTTAAACACTGGAATTCACACTGCAGAACTGCTACAGATTAAATGTTATGTGTAAAAGAAAGTATACTGCTGGTAATCCAGTTACACCCCACCACATTGATTTGTCACCGGAACACCTAGAAGTTAAGTGTAACTTCTATGTCATATCCGATTGCACGGACGAAATAAAATCTGTTTACTGAATCATGCAATACTATCGAGAATGATCGCTGAGGTGCTTAAACAATACTTGACTCAAAATTCATTGTAATCGGTTAGCTGCGAACTAGGAGGACAGTTGTTATGCACTCAGAGTATTTTGAAACATGACAGTTTATAAGTTATCACCCAGATACTGCTCTCACATTAAGAAGATACAGAAAGGAATATAAGAAGGTGAGATGTATTCTGTAGAAAAAAATGGCAAAATGACTAGAGGCTATATTTATTCTACATGACCAATAACTTTCAAGTTTAATTTATAACAGCTGTATCCCAAATAACTAAAAGTTTATGAATAAATGTTCAGTGACGAATGTTTATTCTTCATCTTTCACAGTCAAATCATATGATCGAGTGACATATAGTAAATCAACGCTAGGAGAAGGGCTTTCCTAACCTCTGATAACAAGATAACGCTTCATTATTCAGTCACCCATCGTGTTCGCTCTTCTAACGCAGACCTGAATTCTACATATCTTGTCACTTTTATTTGAATAGATTATAATTATGATACTATTTTAATTCATGGGTTGATTTTTCCCAAAATTAGATTTTGGTTTCATCCGATTCGACGACATCGTTCAAATGCCCGAGATATATCTTAATGAATCCACTAGCCTTCCTCAGTTTCACCTTTTTGGTTTTTACAAACCTAATACAGTAGATAAACATTATCCTGTAATTTAAAATGTTTTAGATTGTCAGTAGTTGAGTGAAATTTGAAAAATACAAGGTACTATATAATCCTTTTTATATCGTTGTTTTGGCCATATTCATATCTAGAAGGAGGACGAATCTTATAACGCTCTTGTGTTTTACAGGTTAATAAGGATCAAAGTAATTTGAAGGAGTTAACTCACTTTCTTTTTACCTCTTATTGTGTCATACAGCTTTTCCAGCCTTTCTTTTTCCAGACTAAAATACAAGGGGTATTTTTGAAAGGGAGATCCTGACAGCGTGGAATATGTTTTGTGCAGTGTATAAGCTAAGTTAGCTTGAGTAAGGAGGTTTACATCAGATGCATTGAAAAGAAGTGATTCCTTTATTTCTGATGATATGAAATAGTTTTCTGCTTTGGAAATGAAGAAAATGGAAGTGGATGCAAGAATTATCATCCAAATAATCAGTAGTACAATTAATATAAGAGTAGTGAATCCGCATTCTTTTGAAGTTTTACTGCATAGAGTCATTAGTTTAAACAATTTCATTGATTAAATAAAAATTCCACACAGTTCAGCTGCATTAAAATGGAGGAGGTACTGAGCGAATCATCTGCAAAATGCAGAATAAACGCACTATCTATCGTATGTAAGTTGTAACTTTATCACTAGTTGCTAATATATATTTTATTGTTCGTTTGTTTCGTCATTTCATTCATTGAAATTCTATTAGAACAGCTGATCTTTTAATTTTTAAGGGTATGGTGTAACTGTTCTCAGTCATTATTTACTGATGAAAATACTTCTGAAAAAAGAAAATATCGTATGACAGAAATGCAAAATGAAATCAATTAATACCAGGTTATGTTTTGCATTAAAAGCAGTAAAGTATATGATTGAATATTATTGACTCACACTAGACACAGAGTACTTGACAAATATTGAAGTTTTACATAAAATGTCAAATAAAAATAAAGTTGACACTCTTCTAAACCATACTGTTCATTAGGTCATTGTTTTATCGAAAATCAGCTAACACAAACAATCACTAAAGATGATAAACCTATAAGAAAATTAGCTACCAATGAAGTGTGGAATAAGTCACGCTTAATGACTAAACCTTCTAAATATTTGTAGGTAAATCATTTGAATGTCCATTAATTTTTCTTAAGGATTCTAAAAAATAACTATGCTTATGAAATATTAAGAATAGCGTTCCTGGGGGGCTGTTTTGTCAAAAAGTTAAATGATGGTGAATCTACTGAAGTAAAAAATTTACGAAATCACAGTTCATGGTAAATCTTCTGCTTCTCTTTGTGTTTTCTCAATAAGAGCTGATTGTTCTCCAGAGTGATTTAAGGGTCATGATCTCCAATAATCAAAGTGATTTGCAATCAGACTGATAAAGACATTCCCCTATTTGGTTCGATTTCAAGTAGGAGGTTCCATTTTTATTTGCTTGTAACGAAAGATCCTATTTGAAATAAACCCGTAATCAAAATGTTCCTTATTGGTTTATTATATCTCTATATATTATTGCCTTTTTGAATTCTATCAACATGCCATGCAACTGTTTAACCTTGTTGAATACTTCATCACTAACATGTAGCAGTTTAGGTTTTCAGTAGTCTTCTGAACAGTCGTTGATTAAGTACATCTTTTGAATATCCCTCAATCTGTAACAATGAGTTACTTCACAGAGAAATTTCCGGTAAACTCTGGATAATTAATTTAAGTGCCTTCTATGTACCACTAGAAAAATAACTATGTTGTCAGTATTATATACTATAGGTTCTAAAAAGGTTTAAATAATTAGTGAATGCTAACTGACTTGAATTAAATTAATAACTTTAGTTTCATGGCTCTTCAGGAGTTTGTCATTATTTTTTCACCCATTCTCGTTCACGTATTTCATACTTGACATTTGTCTACTGATTTAGAGGTTGTCATTTAAACGAACTTATCAAAGTGAAATATTTATAAAATCTAATATGATCACAGATATTTTCTTCTCGGTTATTTTAATATTTAGGGCATATAGAAAATCTAAAGAAGCACAATGCTTACTATCCATAAATTTTTGTCGTACTTTCATGACTTAATACTGCATTCTATCACTAACCTATTAACTATTATGAGTAGATGATAAATTGATTATGTAACGTAGTCTATTAGTTAATCAATGAAAAATGAACGATGAATAAGTACTTCTCAGACAGCTGAACACTAAAATATTTATAAAATGACTGAGAAGTACTCAAGATTGTTCATCAAGTTAACTTGCTGCTTTGAGGCTGAGTACACTGACCGCACTATGCATCTGCTTGTAAAATGAACTCGGGAACAATATTCAGCATGGTTAGCGAAGGGAAAACGAGAGAGTTTATGTAGTTCGGTAACAGAACATCTAACGGATTCATGGCGTTCAGCTCCGTTTGAAAAGTCCTTCAAAGTCAAACACATGATCCGATGAAAACTCTCAAAGGGTGGGAAATCAAGGTATCTGGGAATAGCTGAGGTACTAGTGATTCTAAAGTTCAACTCCACGCCACGTATTCAAAAGAAATACGTCCAGCCGTTGTCCTTACCATGGTCATTACAAAAAGTCAGTCCCATTAATAACGATTATCCTATCACCCTTCCTATTCCGTCTTCCTGATTATTTCTTTTATTTTCACATTCAAAATTTCTATCTGCATTACTATGTTCTTTATCCAAACTTTCTGTCCTTTTTGGGTATTGCTACGTCTTTAATCCCTTGTTACCCAAGAAGTCATGTTTCTCAGTAATTATGATTTCACTACGTTTTCTATCCGTTCTTTCTGTCTATTACACTTTGTAATTTTACTTATTTGACCCCTGACAGGAAATAAATCTGGAACTTTCTCAGTCATTTACTATAAATATACGAATGTACAGCCTAGTTGGTATTTTTGTCGAAAAGATTTTCTTCCCTATAACCGTTTTTTAATAACATTTTACCGTATAATTTTGAATCCTGATGCGAAATTACCAAATTGAATTCCGCGGCCCATGGGGTACGCCAATTACCAGCTTGAAAAGACGCCTGGGACGCTGGGCAGAGCACTTCGGGAAACAGTTTAGCTGGCCACCAGCTTCATTGTCTGCTGTCATTGGCCCCAGTGCTCCTTGATCGGTTAATATTTATGGTGGCGAGCCCATCGCAATGGCTCTAACTGGGTTGTTCAGGAAGGTATGGGAAACTGAGAGTGTACTATCATTGGGGAACGAGGCCATTATCGTCCCCATCTTTAAAAAGGGTCGACGTAATTCGTGTGACAATCATAGGGGTATCCGTCTGCTACCAGTCGCGTCTAAATTATTGGCTGCTGTCTTGCTTCGCAGGCTGTGCAAAATACGTGAAGGGTTGATTCGCGAAGAGCAGGCTGGATTTCGTTTAGGTCGTGGGTGCATTGATCATGTGTTCACCCTTCGTCAGTTGTTGGAACACCACCACACGTATTGCAGGCCAACGATCGTTGTGTTTCTTGATATTAGGGCCGCCTTCGATTCGTTGGACAGAACTGTGCTCTAGAACTGTCTGTTAGAGAGAGGTGTACCTGAGAAATTTGTTAACATCTTGAAAGCCCTATACAGAAACACCTCAGGTAGAGTGAGGGCATACAACCAACTATCATCACTGTTCCCAACCAACAGTGGGGTTAGACAGGGTTGCCCAATCTCTCCATTTCTCTTCAACTTTGCCATAGATGACATTCTGGAATCAGCTCTGAAGGATGTGCGTGAAAGTGGTGTAGATCTGCTACCTGGAGATAGACTTTTCGACCCCGAGTATGCAGACGATATCATCTTACTGTGCGATAGCCTACAGGCTGCCCAAATTGCACTTAATCAATTGGCGATCAGTGTTTGTAAGTATGGTATGTGCTTTGCACCGTCTAAGTGCAACGTACTGCTACAAGATTGGCAGGAGGCTGTACCTGCAGTCACTCTTGTGGGTGAACCGCTTGAAGTTGTTGATAAGTTTGTGTATCTGGGTAGTTGTGTGTGCTGGTGGGTAGGAGTGACGGATGAGATTTCCAGCTGTATAATGAAGGCTAGGGTGGCACACATCAACTTGAGCCACCTCTGGCGCCGTCGCGACGTTAGCCTGGCTGTCAAAGGTCGGGCGTACAATGCTTCGGTGCGGGCTGTCTTGCTCTACGCCTGTGAAACCTGGCCTCTCCGAGCTGAGGATGTGAGGCGACTCTGTGTGTTCAATCATCGCTGTCTCCACAGGATTGCTTGCGTTCGATGGCATCATCGCGTGAGTAATTCTGAGATTCGGCGGCGTGTGTTTGAACACAGTGGAGATCACTATTCGTTGATTGTCATCATCTGGAAACACCGCCTCCGGTGGCTTGGACATGTGCTGCGAATGTCATCCCAGAGGCTTTCGTACAGGTCTCTGTTCGCTAGCCCTGGGACGGGATGGAAAAGGCGGAGGGGTGGTCAGTCCATGTCGTGGCGTCGTGGGATGGAGGATGTTTGTACTAGATTAGCATTGGTTGGTGCGTCACGACTCCTTGTCTGGAGTCCGAGAGATAGCTCGAATCGATAGCTCGAAACGTTATCGGATATGGCCAAGAATCTTAATCAATGGCGAACGTGCTGCGATTTCCTTCTTTCTTCCCTTCCTGATGACAGTTAACGAATACTGTTTGAACTTGTTAAACATGACTGTTTTCCTTCCAGATGAAGTTCTTTATCCGTTTTCTACCTATATTTTCACTTTAAATCTATGTTGTTTTATTATTATTGTGTAGCGCATCTTTCTTGGTGCCATATTGTACCAAGTCTTTTCTGTGTTTAAATAAATAAATATGCTTATATTCTGTTCTCTAATTATCATATTGAGAGTAATTAAATCACGGTTAAGTTAACTTCTTGCCTGTAATAGATGTTTATACGTGACCGAAATATCTGATCCCTGTTGACTTGTCGACCCCGAGTAGAGACACTTCGACTATGTCTGAGAATTAATATGACATGTTTGGAGGATAGCAGCCAGTAGTGGAATCCAGGATGTTCACTTCGTACTATTTAGAAATCGCCAGGTTTATACACCTGAAATCATAATGTGTATTTGGGTTCCTAGTGCGACTCGAATCCAGTTCCTATCGCCTTGACACCAAAGTGCTACCCATCAAACCACTTAAGCTAAGTTGGTCACCTCTTGTTCATAGGTACCAGCTACTATTTACTTAAGATAACTTTGTGTTTCTCCTTGATTAGTTATATTGGATCGCAATGTTCAGTCTCTGTCGACATGTCCTGACAGTATTTTAGTAAAAAGTGTAAAAACTATAGTAATTCCTTTACTATCCTCAACCGTTTACTTAATTGATTGTTTTTAAGCGGAAAACCATATTTATTTCATTAAATACTATGAACATATGTGAACATTTTGCAAACAATATGCAGCCTGTTTTCACGTTCATTTGTCTGTTCTAGTGGCAGACCTAAATAACTTTTAGGCGAATTATTCAGTTCATGTATAGCTAGTGACTTTGATTTACATTGGAGAT